GAGCAGCGGGTGGCGGTGCCCCGGGGTGTCCGCCCTCACAGCCGCGCTTCTTTTGCAGCGTGCATCTGCGAGAAGAACAAGCGTGTCATCAACTGCAGGATGGTCGACGGCGTCTGTTGGTGTGACTCGATCGGCTCCGGCGTGTCTGTGAGCTGCGACACTTGTGAGTAAACCACGCGTGTTGGCCGCGCTTGGCCGGCGTGTGTTGTCTGGGACGGGCAGCGTGGAAAAGTGTCAGCTCAACTGAAGGGAGTGTGTAAAAATGGCCGTTGAGTTGCCGGCAAATAATGGTAGCAAGGAAGGAAAGCTTCTTCCTGGTCTTCCAGGTCAACTGGTGATGGAAGATAAGCCTTTAGAATTCATTTTGTGTAACTTGTGTGGATGCGCGTGCGCTTATACTGATGCAGGCTCTTCCAATCTCCTTAATATTCGGTCTCCAATGGCAAGGATTTCTCAAAGATTAATTTTTAGCTTCCTTGTAGGCACATATTGTGACTTTTCCTACAAATCCAGAGGTGAAAGAGCCTTGTCTCAGGACCTTACTCTTGGTTTGAGCTCAGCTAAGCTGTAAATGATCCTCTGCCTGTAAAAAATGGAAGGTGGTTGGACTTCTTATGCTTTAGCCTTAAGAAGCTGATGTACCCCAGTTGTGTTGACTTTATGCACTACCTACATGTTAGACACCCGCACTTCCTTGTCATGGCTTCAAATCTGGTTGCTTCTGATGTAACCATGTGTTTTTACAGACTCAGAGCTCTGTTTTGAACATGCGTAGTCTGATGCTGTATAACGTGACTTTCTGGTTATTTTTAGTGACTTCAAAATGCCTGCTGATGAAAGCCGAAATGACAGGCTCAAAATCAGGTCGTCGTGAGAAGCCAAAAGATGCATTTGAAGATACTGATGGCCTTTATGATCCCGAGTGTGAAAATACTGGTGTTTTCAAGGCAAAGCAGTGCAATGGAACCACCTGTTGGTGTGTGAATACAGCTGGTGTTAGAAGAACTGACAAACATGATGCAGACTTGAAGTGCAGTCAGTTGGTCAGAACAACGTAAGTCTTTCAACAGGGTGTGCTGTGACATGAAAACATTCCTGTGTTAGGTTCTGTGTTGTAGTGGATTTATCTGTATGAATGATGTGCTAGGGATGAAAGAAGATGGAGCAATAAACACTTGAAACACATGATTACTGCTTTTTTTTTTTTTTCTTCAGAAACAAGGACACATTGAAGAGTTTTGGAGGGGGCTTTCTTTGGTTTTCTATCACTGCTCTATTTTTTTCCCTGGGGTTAGATTTTTAGTATGTGTTGTTATATGCATGTGCTTTAAGAATATTCATTGTACTTGCCTATTACTTCAGGTGGATCATCATTGAAATGAAACATGCTGAGAGAAATGCTCCTCTGAACACTGAATCTTTGAAGAGGTAAGTAACGGTAGTAAGATGTCATGGCGATGTCTGCATGCACTACTAGATACCTAGTGTATTTCTAAACAATTGTTTAAAACCATTGTCAAACCCATGAACTCATTTGTTAAGACATCTTAGGAGTGACCTACAGATCCTTCATAGAATTGCTTTAATTTTTATTGGAAATAACTGCTAATGATATTCACTTGCATTTAAAATTGATCGCTAACTTTTTTTTATCAAGTCAATATACTGAAGAAAATGGAAGGTAATAAGGTGAAACTGCCCAAAAAGTAAACTGACAGAGATAGCAGAGGGACTGTATAGAGGCAGGAGGAGAAAAACAACAGTTTAGCTAATTTTTTTGTGAAAATAAAATCCTACTTCTTTCTGCCAGAGGTCATATAGCAAGAAAAATGTGCTTGTAGCTATC